TGGTCTGAATATGCACTCTGAGATCATCATATTGCTGTATTAGCTATGCTGTTCATATACATGTAGGTGATTTTCAGTCCATTCGTCAACAATTGCATTTTCAACTTCTTCTTGAAAACTACCATCTCAATTACTTTGATACTTGGTATATGGCTATGTAGGTAGGCCTCTGTCAGATTTGTTCATTTCATGACGATATCTTCAGTTCTCTATTTTTGGTATAAATGCTATTTTTGACTTCTTCTTGAAAGGTAAATTTTACAGTGCATATGATAGTTTCTTGAAAGGTAAATTTCACAGTGCATATGATAGTTTCTTGAAAGGTAAATTTCACAGTGCATATGATAGTTTCTTGATTCCTGTGCATGGAAGAGGGTTTGTGAGATTTTCATTTGTTCTTTTAGCACAAGGCGGAGATAATTTGACTATATTTTTGTATATATGGCTAATTTGTTTTAGCTCCACTGTTGACTTCGTCGAGCGGAGCTAATCATATTACCATTATTTTGTCTGTCTGCGTCCATGTCAACTTTTTGACGCACTACTTGTTGAAAACAACAAGTCTATTTACTCAAGATATTAAACATATATGTGGATCTCTCTCAGATTTGTTCATTTCGGATGATATCTTTAATTCTCTAATTTTGATAGTATTTTTGTTAAAAAAAATTATGTTTTCAACGTTTTGTTGAAAACAGCAAGTCTGATTGCTATGATACTATACATGTACATATAAGTATTTCTGGTGGATCTTTCTTTGATTTGTTCGTTTCATGAAGATATCTTTAATTCTCTAATTTTGATGAATATTTTTGTCATATCTGGTAAAAAAAATGATATTTTCGACTTCTATTTGAAAACTGCAAGTCCAGTTGCTTTAATATTGAACATATACATGTATATAAGTACCTGAGTTGAACCTATATTAAATTTGTTCATTTCTTGATATCTTTCATTCTCTAATTTTGATATTTTAGTAATTTTTGGTAAAAAGTGATATTTTCCACTTAGTCTTGAAAACAGCTCGTCCAATTGCTTTGGGTGGTACCAGTAGATTAAGTGGGCTCATCTAAGATTTGTTCAGATTGCTTGTAAAATGAGAATCGCTAACGAAGGGACTCTTGTTTAATCAGACATGCATTTCTCATGCATGTTTTGGTGGGGTTTGGTGGACTTCCTAAACTATGAATATATGTGATACGCAAAATCTGAATGAAATTATATATAACCTTGATTTTCCCAAAAAATATTATTTTGATTCATATTTTTTCACACACACAAACATATTGTTACATTGGCAACAATGAAAATTGAAATTGTATGAATTATAAGTATGTGACTATTAGAATATGAATCATATGTAAATTGTTTGTGAATAGTACGTAAATAGTACATGAATACCGTAGTACTTGTATGTGAATCATACCATATGGTATCTCCTCACTTGTAGCAAATATTGTATACCAAATGCAACAATTGATATGTTCGCAGGATATCCAGATCGGAAATTGTTTGAACAGTTGTCTATCAAAGTGAATCAAACATTTCTTTCGTAATTGAGTTTTTTTCATCAAGTCTCATCACGAGCAAGACATTCTGACTGACATTTAACAATTACAGTACTTTTCAAAAAATCTAAATTTCAAAGTGAAACATTTCCTATATTTTGAGATGAATGTCTGTTTTTCAGTTTCTGTGTATTTTGGGTCACTTCCTTTTAAATTTATATAACATTTTTGAAATCCAAACGAACATTGAAGGTGAACTCATGGCAAACAACATAATGATAGCAGATGAAAGAGCTCCACAAATTTAGGAGAATGCAATTTACAATTTTGCCATATCACTTGTCATTCTCTAGATATTCAACATTTCATCAGTATTATGTAGTCCGCCATTTTGATTTTCTAGCAAAGGATTGTGGGTAAAGTGTGACAGCATATCCACTGTTGTGTACAATTGAGAAAATACTTTGTGTGCTAGTTGCATTAAGTGTGTTTTGAAGCCAGATTCAAAACTTTGTTGCACGATAGGATTTTTAGTTGTCTAGATAAAACTAATCTCAACAGATGGCCTTGCACTAAGTGGCAAGTTCTGACACACATATCTCTAAACGATGTTACTAATATTTATTGCTTATGTTTAAGACAATAGAAAAGTTTAGCAGATAATAGTGTCACAATAGCAGCCATTTTTTAAATGCACAAATTAATTAAGGCGATTTCATTTACCAAACTCAGAGTACCATCAAATCTGTAGTAGAAGGGTCCTGCATTCATATTAGAAACTGCATCCCTATTAGAAACCGCATCCATTCCATTTTAACAATTGAGAATCAAAAATTCACCAATTTCCATCTGTTGTATTATACCATTTTAATAGAAGTCATACATTTTACAGTATCATATTGTGACGCAGTATTTTATTTGTGTGTTGTAGTAAACCATGTCACATGACAGCATGCCTGGTAGAATACATGTAAAAGACGAGAAGGTGCAAGAGAATGAAGTCGGTAAAAAAGATATGAACCACCAAGTCCTTGGCTCTGATCAATACAGACATAATGATGAATTGAATCAACAGCAGAAATGTAATACAGGTAAGTTACATGTGTCAGGGGATTTTGTAACTAAGTACAACTGTATGAGTGAATGTTTATTCCAGAATCTAGACATGAGATTGTATTAGTATTTTAGTGTGTCCTGACGAAGAAATGAACTGGAGCAAAACATTCTGTGTACAAATGGGATGCCTGTTTGTACATATCCAATACAATCCCAGGTCCAGACATATATTCTGGTGATTGATACAATCGTAACAATTTAAGATGGCTGCCTCAGTTTATGCGAGTGAATGAGTATTGCAAAAGTTACCCTTTCTTTACTTCTGATGGTTGTGTATTCTCGGGGTGGATGCTTGGAGGTCCATCTCAAGAATTAACATGCATTGTATTTTGTCCATTAGAAGTGCATTTCCAATAGAAGTACATATCTCATATTAGTTCCTTGAAATACTTTTAATGAATCATTACACAAGGCTGTTGGATTGAATTCCATTAACTCAATCATTCGTCTGACAGTGAATTCATTGTTTACCAAAAATGCAAGTTGATTTTTGCTTATGACCCTATCCAAAATGGCTTACTGGCAGCCATCGTTTGATGAAATCACTATTCCACTTATACCTCTAATTCACACTGTTCATATTTTGTATATGCACAATTCTATGACATAAATATAAATTCATGTGTTACAATTCAATCTAGTATGGCCGAGTGGCAGCCATTTTGTTCTATATTTTGCCAAAAGAATCATTATAAACTCATGTTAAGTTGTTTTGCACTCACAGTGTAGATCTGGTATATGCACCGTGTACAACAATAAATAAATTTTGACAATTCATTTGTCATATAAAGGA